CGTGGCTACTACTTGTGCATGGGACGCAGTGCTGCTCAGGTTCTCCAGCCATTCGGCGATCCCTGGCGCACATCGATGCATGTAGAGCGATACATGCATGTGCAAGCGACGGACCGAGACAACTCGATGCTGGAGTTGTCCTTTGAGATCATGCACCGGCAAGCGAGTTCACGCCACCTTCCCTTAGGATTCCCAGCCCCGCCCATGACCTCCAAAGACTTTTCGATTTTCTCGGCTCAAGCGTTCTTACCGTGGTGAATTTCCAAGGATCTGTATTGCCGTGCACTCTTCATCAAGACGGGGGTCGCTTCCGCCTTCGAAGATTCTCGTATAACGAGCCTAACGTCTTCAAGCATGGGGGGGGCGCTCACTGCCTCAGCCCACCGACGACAAGTAAGGGCAGCTCTCAAACGGTCTGCCGGCTGCAGTCTCAGCAGAATCTCTGCGAGCAGCTGGAACAAGGAATTTAAGCTTAGGAAAGTTCATATCTACAGATGCTGTCTTACGAGTCGAGCTGTACTCGCGAGAAACCAAACAAGTACCTCATTCGGTAATCCGTTCATCGTTGATGTTGGTTCGACTACTATGTCTTCTGACAGTAGAGATGTGCAAAGATGTGTGGCTTGTCCGAGTCGAACGGTTGCTCTTAGCTCCGGAGATTTGTTTGGTGAGCCATGTGCGCGCACTTCGCATATAAAGTAGAGTTGGGTGAGGGTCTTGTCTGGACCCCACTCCTCATCGGAGAGAGTGCCCGCAAACCCCGGGCCGAAGATTTCATTCGCTTCTAGGGATCCAAGGATTGCTCGAAAATCCGATGAAGAGGGGTGTTCGGAGCGGCTTCTTCGAATTGGCTGCGAGCCGTGGAATTCGCTCGGTGGTGAGAGATTAACGACTCGTGGCTGACACCGCAGAGAGGCTCGAGATCGGGACAGCAGCAATGAGGGTGATGTCGGTGACCAGGAATTTAGCGGTCCGGGAGGAGGGCTCACTGTACAGCCTCCTTGGTATTTCTCGCGGGGTTGTGCCACGGGTCGGCCGGCAAGCGATCTCGGTCTCGTGTGAAGAAGCGATAGATTGCCCGGCAATCAGCCAGCTCTGGAAATGGGGTGGGAACTCGAGCTAAAGGGCGGACTCACATCGCTGGAGCCTCGCGAGCTTTGTATCGGGGCGGATGTACGACCCGAATGATCGGTCGCGAACCCCAGAAGTAATCGACCGATCATCAAGCTCGCCCGAGAGTACTGTAATGATCTAGCCGACTGACGTTGAATCGTTGCCGCAATCGAGAAGAATTCCGAACCAGATCCTGAGAACCCCTGAAACCTGGCATCCAATGTTGCTGAATATTTGTTCGGAAGTGTACTCCGCATGATCTTCCCACAACCAATGCCGATGTATATTCGCGATTCACAAATGGCGCGCTGCCTGAAGTCGCCCAGGTAGATTCAACTCGTCGAAGATCTCGCTGGAACGGGGATTCCTGGGACTTTTGACGTGAAAATGTCTTTAAGTTTATTGGGCATACAGAGCAGGGGTAACTTGACACATGCAACCCTCGGAAATCATTCGATCCTTGCATAAATAACTGCTTTATTCTGTACGCAGGCACTCGATTGACCACAAATTCTTGTCCGGAACAGGCGACGACAAGTGACGTCCTCGGCGCTACTCATTTCACATGTTTGCTCAACTCTCCCCCGCGATCGGCGACACCGGCATCCCCTAGTCAATCTTATCCTCAGTATCCGAAGGAGGGTTCTGGGACGCGATGGGACCTGGGAAGCTCCGGGAACACCGCTCCAGCCTCCCTCACGATGCGCATGAGGTGCCTTGCAAATGGTCAAATGCGTAATCGCCTCCGGATTCCCTGCTCGTAAGAACAGTTCGGCTGTATACGTCCTTAGCATGGGGGCATCTAGGACCGGAGCCGAGAAATCAGTCAACCCTGCCCCGACTCTGCGGAGTGAGAACACCTGCGAAACATCGTGTATAGCGGTAGCGCCCTCCCATAACCTCATTCAATGATGGCCGAGCTGCCGCAAGCAATCGACGATTGTGTCGAGAAAGCGTCCCTATAGAACAAGTCTCTCCAATGGCGGATGGCAAGAGCGATTTCTCCAAGAATACACTATATTTGACAGAAGATCAATGAATAATCTTCGAAAATTGTAACAAATTATACAAAGGAAAAAATAGAGGAATTGAGAGTCGCTCCGTTGCCCGGATTGGATCGACTCCGGGCTTTCAGGCTCATCGGTCGCCTGCGTTTTCGCAAAACCTACGAAGGTGACCATGATTTGAAATACACGTTTATATTGTACAGTGAACATTGAAACAGGAAGTTGTCGCACCATTCATACGACTCATTTTAGAATGGAATGGATCGGCTTTTCCATGGTATAAAGTCGAGCACGTGGGCCTCAAAAAACAGCCAAGACTCCGTGATTCCTCCGGATCCAATGCCGAGTTCTGTAGTCTGTTGGTATGAGCGCCTAGACATGCGAGTCCCACATTAATAATTCGTGAATTGTGAAGCTTGATCTCATTCATTGTCCGTGATCCGAGATGACGCTCGAAAGCCAGGTTCATGATTCCAACAGCGCCTGAGACCATGATGCATCGGAGCGGACCTTGTCTAAGGAACTGAGCATTACTCGATATCCGTAATCATCGGGAAGATTGTCACAGCAGATGAAGGCCAATTCCGTCCAGAAATTTTCTGCGACGAAGGTGCAGATCTCGGGCCCCGAAGACAGCAGGCTTAGTTCTGGAAATCGGAGGACCCTAGGGGTTAGAATATTCCTGAGGAACTCGACCCTGCTCAGAGGGAAATCGCGACTCAAGTGCTTCAAGCTTGAGAAGCGTCCGAGATCTAACCGGGGTCCCCTGCTGATCATCTCGCAATCCGCGGCAGTCAGCCAGTCAAGATCCCTGGATTCGTGGGCCCTCGCTGAGCTCTTGCCGGTCACACGGTCACATTCCTCCATGAAGAGACGTCTGAGACCAGGAGAATTGGCTCGCAGGTCATCCAGATGGCTGACCTCCAAAGCGACAGCCTCCACAAGCGACATGTTTCGCAGCGCCGTGCACTTGCTTATCGCAGCGAAAACTCTGGCCGTGAGTTTTACGCAAGACTCCAAATGCAGATCCTCCAGATGATCTGCATTTGCTTCCACGAAGCCGACCAAACCCTCGTCGATCAGCATAGTCTTAATGATGCGTAAGACCTTCAGGACGCGACTTGATCCCACCAAGCTGGAGAGAACCAGTTTGACGAAGCGCGTCGTGCATCGCTCGAGGTGTGAGGAATTCAGGGCCGGCATCGTACTGAGCAGCTGGCCGGAGAGCGTGGGTGCCAAGGGGGCTCCGGCTAGCCCCCGGGTTGAGATGTTGCACACTAAAGCGCATGCTGGAGGATTCGAAGTTAAAATGAGCAGGCAGTCCTTGTGAATATCAGCCGTCAGGGCATTACGTACCTCGGAAGAATCCGTGGACGCTCTACGAATAGTTTCAGACCATAGGATATTCTCGAATTTTCGATAGAACATCGTCTCTCGGGTATAGAAACAATCGTTCCCCCGCAGGGACGGGGGAGAAGGACTCACGTTGGGTGGAAAGACCCTCCAGCTGGGAGCATTGCCGGAGGATCGAGTAGAAGACTCGACTCCTCCAATTGCACCCGTCGAGCATGAGTTCCCGAACTTTTCCACCGACGATGGACCAGGGCCCTTCACTGTATTTCTTTGTGTCGACTGGGAGGTAAGAACAATGTCACCCATGGGACATCCTGAAAATAAAAATATGTGGAGGAAATCCTAGAATGTGCATGTAACTAGAGAGGGAGCGGAGCCGAATATGCGAAGGGGCTACATGAATTCAGAATGCGGACATTCATTCAATTAACACGTAGCCTCCCGCATCCTCCCCCGCCGGGGGTCTGATATCTTCCACAGAGGACCGACTGTGACAAGCAGGAGGCTGCCTCTCCTACATGGGACACAATGCTGCGACGGTTCGTTGGAGAAACCCACCTTGTGGAGGAGCGTCCTGCATCGCTGGAGCTGCAAGAGATTAAGGGTCGGCATCGTGGTGAGCAGCTGGCGGAAAATCGTGGAGCGGATGCTGGAGAAATCATAGACCCACTCAGGCCATATTTCGAAGAGCGAGCGCTCCTTGAGGTAAAATGTGCGTACAATCGATGCAAATATCAGTCTACAGAGCAATACCCTCACGGGAGCCCATGGGCGGTCCAT